AGGAATGCCAGAACATTGTCAGAGGTTAACTGACATCTCTGGCAAAAGCATCCTTGGCTTGAACTCTCATGTTGCCTGACTCTCTGGTCCAGACTTTTGGACCTTGGACTGATGATTCTGATTGCCCCAATCCTGAACTCTCAGACTGCTTGATGCCCCTGAACTCTTGGTTTGCTCTGATTTCTTGGACTTCTGATACGCTGGACTTAGATTGTTTCAGACTGCCTTTGTTGCTCTTTTGCCTGACCGTTATCTTGATACCTTTCCCAGGCAGCACCCCCTGCACTTTCGAGTGACATCCCTGGTTTTGTCCAATGCAGAACAGCCGTATCCAGTTCACGGTTGCAGATGTTCAGCTTGCAGTGCTGTTCTACATTGCTTACTGATGAGCACTGAACATGGTTCATGGTTGACTTTCACCAAGTTTCATTTTAACCACATGCAACTATGTACATGTAAATATATTTACTTTTATTCCTTTCTGAGGGAGGCTAGTTTGGCTCCCTCCCTGCTTTCCTTTTGCTGGCAAGTAAAAATATTTTTATTCAGGCAGGCTTTTAAAAATCATGACAGGGTGGCTTTTATATGAGGTATGTGTTTTAGATTACATTTTTAAACTTTTGTATGTTTTGGATGTTAATTTTAGATTGTTTTAACTGGATTATTTTAACTGTTTTTACATATTTGAAGTAAAGTTTTTGAAGTGCTTTTATCTTGTGAGCTGCCTTGGATCGCTTTCTGGGAGAAAAATGGCATTAAAATGGAATAGATAAAATAACAATGAATAATATAAATGTTTGCACATCAAAGTGCAATTCCTTAATTGCCCATTTCACATGTGCATCACCATGTAATGGACATTTGGGAGCCTGCTCTTTCACTTTGACTATGAAATGAATACCTATGGTAATAGCTGAATGGATATGTTTGGTTTCCCAAGCTCAAAGCATTTCCTTTTTGGGGACAACGTCTCCCAGGGGCTATGATGGCAGAAGGAGCTTCTGGAAGTTGTGATCCAACAAAGGAACTTTTCCAAGCACAATGTATTTCCCTTTCTCTCTTCTTAAGGAAAAGGAATAAGAGCTGAAGCCACAGAGCCTGAGTAATAAAAGCTTATTCTTATAATAATAACACAAAGATTGCAGGGAATTGAAACAGCTTCCCAGAATTAGACGCTGTCAGTAATTATAACCTAGTTCAATGTGGGTGCTATTTAAAGATAATATGTTAAAAGCGCCTTTGATAGAAAATACTTGGTTGTGAAATTGGGGGGCCCTGGAGAAACGTTCTGCTAAGCAGCCATGAGATTCACTTTGGAGGCAGTGTGGTCTTTTCTTAAGGAAATAGTCCGGTATGATTACCAATCATTTTCAATTGTTGTTCACAATTTGCTCCCCAAATCTCTGTTTCCCTAGCTGTCTGGTTGTGAGTTACAGTTGTGTAAAACACTTCTTCTTCATCAGGTGCTGGTGGGTTAGATGCCAGTTAAATGCAGTTTGTTGCCCACCCTTCTTTCTTGCAAGGTGTAAGTCGGAGGTCAGCAATGTACAACCCATGTGTGACCCCGGGGCCCCCAAAGTGTGGCCCTTAAAGCCCTCTAAACCCCCCAGTTGTTGTTATATACCTCCAAGCTGTTTCTGACTTATGGTGATCCTAAGGTGAACATATCACAGGGTTTTCTTGGCAGAATTTCTTCAGAGGAGGCTTGCCTTTGCCTTCCTCTGGGGTTGAGAGAGTGCCACTTACCCAAGATCATCCATCTTCTAAGGTTGAGCCAGGATTTGAACCCTGGACATCCAATATCCTAGGCTTCATTTGCACTGGGAAAAGTGGGGTTTTTGAATTGAGAAAATTAAAGTTGACAAGGGATACAATGAAGTTAGGGAACCTATTAATAAAATATTCCACATTATTGGTACTGGATACTAAATCACTTGTTTATAGCAATCGGAGGGGGATGAGGAAAAGTGGAGGGTGGTTGGAATGTATTTGTGGTGTAATAATGGAAATATTTAGCAATGATTTAGTATAGATGTTGTATGGTATTATTGGGCATAAAATCAATCAATAAAATCAATCAATCAAAAAAATCAATTAAAAAGAGAGAGAAGAACAACAGGATAGCCATGAGTCAGTCATCATACTTCTATTACTACATAGATGGGAATGTCATATCAGTCATGTCATATCTATTATTAAAAAATAAATATGATCTGCTGAGTAAATGGCAAGGCTGAAAGCATGCATGCAATACATGTGCTCTTCCTTGCCATTGTCCATGCATCAGCTGCCACCTTTATTGGCCTGGGAGAAAGACAGCATGTAAATAAAGTAAATAAAGTAAATAAATAAATAAATAAATAAATAAATATGTAAATGGTAAACCAACCAATTCATTGCAAGATGTTGTGGGTCCCAGGAACTTGTCAAGATAAGATAATCATGCTGGCAGCTGTTTCTCATTCTGTCTGATTCTAGGGGAATCCGAATAGTTATACAGTTGGACCTCCTTATCCACGGAAATTTTATCTATGGATTCAGCCATCCACCGCTTGACAATATTCAAGAAAATATAAATTCCAAAAAGCAACGCTTGACATTTCTATTTTATTTAAGAGACATCATTTTACTATGCCATTGTATTTAATGAGCTTCCACAGATTTTGGTATCCAGAGGGCATCCTGGACCCAAACCCCAGTGGATACCAAGGGCCCACTGTATTAACTTGCTATTGTAAAGTGACCAAGTGTCTGGTGATACCTTGAAAACTAACACAATTCGGTGTTCAGAGATATAGCCATGTTAGTCTGGAATATCAGTATACAAAGGGAACGTGTAGCACCTTTGAGACAGACTGTGCAAAAGAAGTCATAGCATGAGCTTTCATAGACTTGATCTACTTCCTCAGATGCATCTAAGGAAGTAGACCAAGTCTATGAAAGCTCATGCTAGAATTTTTTTTTTTTGCATAGTCTCAGAGGTGCCACAAGATCTTTTTGCATACAATTCAGTGTTTTCACACATTTTGTTAGCAGTTTAGGAGAGGTGTTTTAGGGGTTGAAGATCTGGGATATAAATTATTATATTAATAAATAGAGTAATTGAGTCCAGTTCTGGGCACCACAGTTCAAGAAGGATATTGACAAGCTGGAACATGTCCAGAGAAGGGCAACCAAAATGATCAAGAGTCTGGAAACAAAGCCTTATGAGGAACGACTGAGAGAGTTGGGTATGTTTAGCTTGGAGAACAGAAGATTGTGAGGTGACATGATCACCATCTTTAAATATCTGAAGTACTAGAATATGAATCAATGGATTCAAATGACAAGAAAAGCGATTCCCCCTAGAAATTAAGAATTTTGGGGCTGTAAGTACTGGTTGACCATGGA